AGCTCAACGAAAATGACCACAACCACTGCTTTGTTGCTGCGGGCTGGAAGGCGGCATCAAAAGAAAAGCAGTGGCTGTGGTCGTTTTCACGCCCCGTAAGAACCACTGCACACTTCTTCCGCCGTGCGCCCCGCCCTCAGCGCGGGGAATAATCAATCCCAACGCTGACAGAGAAAAGAGTCTTCGGTATACGACCAGCTGCGAGTCCTAGGTCTTATCGGCGCCAGGGATATTGGCCATCCTCGATGGGGTTCATCTGGCTGCAAGCACTTTTCGAGTTCTGAGCCCCAGCCGGCGCTTCCGAAATCTGACCTGCGGGGGAAGGATTCGAATGTTTCGGTGGCAAGCATCTCATACCATCTTGCTTGCGCTTGCGAATCAACGCGAATTGACTCTAATCGACATGAGTGGCCGCTAATCGGCGCTAAACCGACGCTAAACCGGCGCGATCTCATCGACTACCAGAAGCTAGTCGACGCTAGTCGATGCTAAAGACGAAATTGAGAGGGTATACAAGGCTCCCAAGATTCGGCTGCATGCAAGAGTCTCCCTTGGTAACAAAGAGCGGCCTTTGGTGCACGGCTTCGTGGGGTACCGCTGGGAGACCAAACGCAAACGCGCGAGACGCTGACCTACCGCATCGCGCTCGGCCCCAGTGGGCCCGCACCAAGAGCTCACTCCGGCGAAGGGTGTGTCTGGACGCCCGATATGGATACGGAAAAAAGCGGGTACAATGCCCAACAACCAATGCTGTCCCAAACCAATAGCGGCCGCTGTTGGGCAGGCGGCCTTCTGCCTCGTATGGACACAGGCCGCGGCGGCGTGGACGGCGAGTCCTGTTCAAAGTGAGCACGGACTGCTGCTGGGCATCGTACCCCTTCTTTCCGTACCCGTTTCGTTCGCGCGGAGGTTCTCATCAGCCCTGGGCAGTCCGAGAAGAGTTCGAGGAGGAGGAGGACGAAGAGGAGGAGGAGGAGGAGGAGGAGGAGGAGGAGGAGGAGGAGCAGGGGAGGAGGAGGGGGAGGAGGGGGAGGAGGAGGAAGTGCCACCGAAGCGCCCCTCCCAGCCCCTGCCGGCAGGCGCACCCTTCGCGGAGCGGGCGCCGGGCGCACCCCTCGGAGGGTGCGCGCGGGCGCGCGGCGCAGGTGCGCGGAGTGCCGGGGGCCGCGTGCGCCGGGCGTGGTGGGAAAGGGAACGGGAACGCCGTGGCAGAATTTTTTGCTGAAGGGGCCCAAAAACACACACACACACACACACACACACATTCACACTCACACACACACATATCTAAATAAACAAATAAACAAATAAATAAATTCTGGACGCCCGAGATGGGTACGGAAGAAGTGGGTGGGTTGCCCAACAACTCGTGCTGTCCAGAACCAGCGGCGGCCGCTGTTGGGCAGAGGGCTTGATGTCTCAAGTGGACAAGGTCCGCGGCGGCAGCGACAGCGAATCCGGATCAAAATTAACAATCATTCCTGTCGGTCTTTATACATATTCTTTGCGTACCCATTTCGATCGTCCCGATAAAAACTCCATCTCTTCTGGAGTTCCGTCTTCCCCTCCACTTCCTATGTTTTCCAAGTTGTTTCTGGACATCCACTTTTACTTGTCTGTGCCGATGTTTCCCTCCTGAACGAAGGGAGAGCGACCACATGACTTAACACGACTCGGCCGCAACCGTTTGCAAAACCAGGAGACCCAAACAAGCCGACCTGCGATGGGCAAACTAGTGCAGCGAACCGTGGCCTTAAAAAAACGAACGTGGTGCACGATGGAAAAAAAACATCGTCTGGACTTGTTCAAGACTTTGAGGCGTCCCAGCTCGGGTCAGAGCAGACGGTGTCGGAGGATCGCGCTGCATCGCCGATGCATCACCGATGCATCGCCGATGCATCGGCGCCGTCGGCATGGAGAAAATCGGGCCCCGCATCGAGGCGCACCGCCGATGCACCCGCGATGCGGCGGGATCCTCCGACCCCAGCCGCTCCCACGCAGCCTGCCGGGAGGGAGGAGAGCGGCCGAGCGGCCGCGGAGGCGGGCCGAGGGCGGAGGGGAGGCCCCGCCGTCGAGGGCATCGGCGCAGGCGTCGGTTTGGACGCCCGAAATGGGTACGGAAAGATCGGGGAGACGTAAGACCCGGGTACGGGGGACTCGGAAATCCCCGACGAGGTCGTCAAAAAAATGACGAGGCCGAGCCTGCATTTTGACGAGGCCTCCCGCTGCAGACATCCCACGAAACTCCTCCTCGTCAAAATCCGAGTCGCGGTCGTCAAAAAACGATGGCGAACCCGAGTCCCGGCAAACCCGGGTCTTACGCTCCCCCGAAAAGAATGGGCACTATGCCCAACAACAAATGTTGTCCCAAGCCAACAGCGGCCGCTGTTGGGCAGGCGGCCCTCTGTCTCGAATGGACACAGGCCGCGGCGGCGCGGACAGCGAATCCTGTTCAACATGAACGGGAACTGTTGTTGGGCATTGTACCCATTCTTTCAGTACCCATTTCGGGCGTCCAGAGTCGGGGCGCGCGACGGCCGGGAGGCCCGGCGGGTGCGGCGCCGGCCGGGGTGCTCAGGAGGCGCTCGCGCTCCGGCGGGATGGCGGTCACGCCGTCGACCCACCGCGGCGGCGCGGAGGCCCCCGGCGGCGCCCAGGCGAACCACACGGCCTCGTCGTCGTGGGCCGCGGCCACGGAGGGCCGGCGGCGCGCCAGGGCGGCCCGTGGGCGAGAGCGGCCCTGGACTTGAGTCGGGCCTGTCCTACTACAGGGGGATCTTGGACGAAAAACAAAAAAACAAATACCTCCAAAAAAATGCCCCCCAAATGGCAAGAAAATGCTCACAAAAGAGTCCCCAGACTATGTTTGGACTATTTCTGGATGTTCCCCCCGTAGAGGGACAGGCCCGACTTGAACCTGGGCCTCCGACGAAGGGCTGCTTTCAGTAAGGGCCCAGCGCCCTTTTTCGACTTCGGCCTCCAGGGTCCGGCCTCGGGGGCCTGCGAAGGATGGGAAGCCTGGAACCACCACGAAAGAACCAACGTTTTTTGTGGCCCACAACTCTCGGGAGCGGCCAAGAGGGGGGTGTCCAAGAGGGGGGGGGGGGGGGGCAAATCATGACCGGCGGCACGCGCGCGGCCCAGCGGGGGGGCCAGGGACGCAGCGAAATCAGAAGAGGCGCCATGAAATCTGGGAAATACCATGGCCCACGCCATGATACCCACCCACCCCTAATCATCACCCCCCTCGTTGCCGCCCCCGAAACTCCAAATCATGGGACATCCATGGCCGGACGACTGCCCAGTTTCGGGACCCAGGGCAGTCGGAAGTGGATGTGGGACGGAAAGCTACCCCCAAGAGGAGGAGGAGGAGGAGGAGGAGGAGGAGGAGGAGGAGGAGGAGGAGGAGGAGGAGGAGGAGGAGGAGGAGGAGGAGGAGGAGGAGGAGGAGGGGGAGGAGCAGCAGGAGCAGCGAGGTCTTCGGAGCCCCGCGGATGGAACGAATCAGGGTCAGCTGTGTGAGGCCTTGTGGTGCGCGGCCTTCGGGGGACCGCGGGAGGCCAAACCCGAGCGCGCAGGCCGGTGCTGGGGGGGCCCTGTATAGGCCCGCACCCAGCTCCCCCTCCTGCGACTTCCCAGCTCTCCTGTGGCGTGGGCCCCAGGGGCTTCGACCACGTTCCCGGGTCCAGATTTTCATCCTTACCCTTCTCTTCTGACAGCCCCTGGGGTCGCGGCACGGCCTCCACAGGCCCACGGAGGCATCCTCGACCGGCTTGGGTGCCGCTTGGGCCTTCTTGGACGCAGTGGAAGCCAAAAGGCAAACACGCCAAACATATCAGTTTTCTCCTAGGAAATCGACGACGTTTGCTTATGGGGCCTCTCTCGGGGTGCCTCTTGGGGCGTCTTCGGAGCCTCTTTTGATGTTTTTTCGGGTTTCATGGGGGACCCCGTTTGCAAAGCACCCTCGAACTTCGTATAACACTTAAAAATAGATTCTGCGAGTTTTCAAGCTGATTATCGAGGGAGCTTTCTTTTGTAATCTAAGCCCTAATTTGCGTGTTCAGAGCTCTACGGGGGTCCCGGCGGTAACCTGGTTGACGGTTTTCCGCCGGTTCCAGTCTACGTTTCGGCGGTCTCTGTCTGTCTGGCTCTGCTATCCGGGTTTTGGACGGGAGCAAATACTACCGTGCAAATCGTTCGTCATACTTGGGTATAGGGGGCGACAGACTAATCGAACTTACCTCGTAGAGCTCTTCGGCATCGATGAGCTAGAGGAATTCCGGCGCGGGGTGGAGCTAGTTGGCCCACCCGGCCCGGGCGGACAATGTGTGAACCTGGGGTCGGTTTTTCGAAGATTGTGAGAGATTTGACAATTCGTTTTGAGAACCAGTATTTGTCTCACGTGTAGTGGGTTATGCCGCGTCTCCCTGTCAGATCCTCAGGTCGCTAGCTGTAATATTACTGTCAAAAGACGTGGAGAAACCGACTTACCTCGTAGAGCTCTTCGGCACTGATAAGCTAGAGGAATACCTGGGACCGCACCCGGCGGGCGCAGGACCGCAACGCACCCTCGTGCACCGCAGAAGGTAATCTTGCCAATCGACTTGGTAGGGTTTTGTCCGATCGGAGGGGACGAAAGGGGGTGGGATAGTATTAAGTCGGGCCTGTCCCCCTATAGGCCGATTTTGGGCGAAACATTAAGCATACCCCAAAAATACATTAAAAATGCTCCAAAATGGTCAAAGAATAATCCCCAGACTATTTTTTTACTATTTTTGGACATTCCCTCTGGGGAAAGGCCCGACTTAAGGATAGCAAAGGGCAGGGTAGAGAATCAGCTCACGTAGCCGATTCTCCCAGCGCCTCCCGGCGCCGGGAGGCGCCCCATGCATCGGGGAATGGGCCCGGCGGCGGGGCCGAAACCAGCCGCACGCAGCAGAGTTCGTGTAACCCCCCTTTCCCGATCCCCCCCTTTCCGTTCGGCCCGATCCGAGGCACGAGCCACCGACATGATGCCTCCACTCCTGGGCACTGCGCATCGCCGCAGCCATGCTGCGCCGCAGCGTGAGCCCGAGGATCGGCTGGATGGCGTTCAGCCTCGCGGCACCGCGTGCTGCCTCCAGCGGGAAAAACCGTGGCTCTGGGCCGCCAGGAAGAAACAACGAGGCGAGCCGACGACGAGACGGCGCGAAGCCGCAGTGCGGGACGGCTTCTGCCACCCTCCGAGTCGCACTGACCGAGCATCGCTCTGGCGCGCAGCCGGGACAGGCGATCGCCCACTCGCACCCGCCGGGGCGCCAGGAAGGACAGGCAAGGGCGCCTGAGCATCGATCAACCGATCCCTACCCACACTGGCGCGGCCTCGGCCCCACTGGCCGACTTGCCCACACAGGTGGGTATGTATATATATATATACACACATATGTAAATACTTCCCCCGCCTGCCGCCAGCCTTCCGCCGGCTTCCGCCGGTAGAGCTGGCCTCGTTTTTTTACTTCCGCCGACCTGCCGCCGCCTTCCGTCGAGGAAGAGAGGACATCTCCGTCGACCCTCGAAGGCAAGGCCAGTCTTGGAACGCCTCCTATATCTACCTGCTGGTCTGGGCCTCGTGGAGCGCATCCCCATCCAGACGTCATTCGTAGGGTGGGCCGGTGGTGCTAAGATACCATGGCCCAGTGGGGATGGGAGTACCCAGACCCCCGACGCCATGAATTTTTCACGACGTGGACCCCCAGCGGCCTGGACCCATTCCCCGGGACCTGATCTCTGTCCCGAGCCCATTGTGGACGGCCCCGAGGCCGTCGTGAGGGCCCCCCGAGGCCGAAAATAGCGAAAAACCTTTTCGTCGTGATACTCGTTTCATGACTCGAGGGGGTCTGGCGTGGGGATGGGAGCAGGTTGGACGATGCTGAGCGCCAGTGGTGGCGCAGGGGGGCCTCCCCGCCGGGCGGCTCCGCGTCGGTCCAGCTGCTCAGGCGGTGGCCCCCGCCCATGTCCAGCTCCCACCACCAGGCCACGGCGTGCGCGCTCCCCGCGGCGGTGGCCTCCACCTCTGGGACGAGGACGAGGACGAGGACGAAGAGGGGGAGGAGGAGGAGGAGGAGGAGGAGGGGGACGAGGAGGAGGAGGAAGAGGAGGAGGAGGAGGAGGAGGAGGAGGAGGAGGAGGAGAGGGAGGGGAGGAGGAGGTGGAGGAGGAGGTGGAGGAGGAGGAGGCTGGATCGAAGCAGGACGCAGGGTGAGCATGGAACTCTCGGAGGTCCGTGCGGGTGTCTCGGCTCGGCGCTGGACCCCCTCCCTGGCGCGCGGGGCGCGCCGGCGCCGAGGGCGGCGCCAGGGGCGCCGCCCAGGGGGGGGGGGACCCAGGAGGTCCGCACGGACCTCCAGGTGCTCACGTGTCTTCTTGTTGTTACTCGAGCCTCGGCCACGGCCGCGACGGGCCCGGCGTCTGGGAGGCGCGCAAAGTCGATGGACGCGGCAGCCCACGCCTGAGTGAGCGGCCTCTGGGGTGACAAATAACCACCGATACTGCCGCTTCCAGGACCTCTCCCGGGGTGCGCTCTGACCAGAAATCGTTGAGCAGGGACCGACCGTCCCGGCATTCCTATAGGCCTACCACTAAATATCCCTGGAACCCAGATGTGTTCTTAGGACCAAAACAACGTTCTTAGAACACCACCCCCGATGGAACAACACAAGACAGTCCCAGCCAGAAACTCGGGCCGGGCGAAAGAGTGGGGGAAAGCGGGGGGTTGAGAATCAGCTCACGTAGCTGGTTTTCCCGGCGCCTCCCGGCGCCGGGAGGCGGCCATGCATCGGGGAATGGGCCGGACGGCGGGGCCGAAACCAGCTGCATGCCGCAGATGTCGTACCCCCCCTTTCCCAATCCCCCCCCCTTCCGCCTGGCCCGAGACATGTCATGAGAACACTGTGGGCGACAGGCTCTTAGCACATGCTTTATTTTTGGTGGGGGGGCGGGCCTACGGCTATGTTGGTCCCATCGTACGTAAGGACCACATCCCAGAAATAATGTCGAGCACCCGTAGAAGTGCCAAAAGAGTGTCGAAACAGTGTGGAAACAGTGTCGAAACAGTGTCGAAACATGCTTTATTTGTGTTGGGGGGGGTGGGCCTACGGTTATGTTGGTCCCATCGTACGTAAGGACCACATCCCAAAAATGATTTCGAGCACCCGGAAAAGTGTCAAAAGAGTGTCGAAACAGTGCCTCCCAGGGCCCGACACGTGAAAAAACCATCAAGCTGTTGAATACTTTTCTGGCGCTCGAAAGTCTTCCTGGTGGTCCAGGCTAAAGCAGGTTGGCACATCATTCAGCCTACGGGAAAGCCGGAGGACGCTCCGCCACCGCGCGAGCTCGAGGCGGGCCCCCGGCCGTGGCGACGCGAGGGGCCCACGGAGGCCCCGACCCCTCCCCCCGGGGGCCGCGCTGGCCGCGCCGGCCGCCCCTTAAGCCGCTCGGCGCGCCGGGCCCGAAGCCCCACCTTATAAGTAGGCCCTGGAAGCGACAGGGCCGTTTTTTGTTGAACCGGTTCCGTCTTGCCGTTCTTTTGTTGCTGATGATGATGATGATGATGATGATGATGATGATGATGATGATGATGATGATGATGATGATGATGATGATGATGATGTTGATGATGATCGTTCCGACGCCGTTTTTGTTGCCGGTGCCGTCGCCGTTGTGTTCTGCCGTGCCCCCTGTTTCAAGGGGCACTTCTTCGGAGGCGGTGAGAAACAGCGGCCCTGGAAGCGACAGCTGGCCCACGGAGGCCCCGACCCCTCCCCCCCCTGGGGGCCGCACCGGCCGCCCCTTAAGCCGCTCTCCTCGCCGGGCCCGAGGCCCAGCCTTATAGCAGGCCCTGGAAGCGACAGCTGGCCGTCTTTGTTGGCGGTTCCGTCTTGCCGTTCTTTTGTTGCCGTGCCCCCTGTTTCGAGGGGCACTTCTTCGGAGGCGGCGAGGAACAGCGGCCCCGCCGTATTGCCGGGGCCCGCGAGGAGCCGCGGCAGGGAGCCCTCGGAGGCCGAGCGCGACACGAGGGGCCACCGCCTCGACCTCCTCGAGGCGCTGAGTGAGAGGGGCCCAGGGACACACAAAGAGGTAGACACAAATCACAGGATTCCCCCCCTCTGCCCCCCTCTGTGGGAGTGTCGCCTTCCCCCCCCCCCACCTCCCCATATTTTCGCACACTTTGTCCTGGGAGTCGACGAGGAATTGTGCCTGTGTGCTGTTTTTCTCTCCTGGGGAGTGTCCGGGTTGGTACCGTCTCCTCTTAAGTCGGGCCTGTCCCCCATACAGGGGGATTTTCAACGACAAATAAAACATACCCCAAAAATAATCCAAACATAGTCTGGGGACTCTGTTTTAAATATGTTTGGACCTTCTTGGGGTATTTGTGGGGTATTCTTTATTTTTCGTTGATTATCCCGGCAAAGCAACCTAACAGCGATGTGTAGGAGCATATCTGGAAGCATTCCCCTTAAGACTCAGATGAGAATCCAGTTGTAGAATTCTGCTGTTCTCGCAGTCGTAGTCGCATTCGCGATGACAGTCGCAGTGGCAACGGCAGTCGCAGTCACAGCCTCAGCCTCAGCCTGCCTCAGCCTCAGCCTCAGCCTGCCTCAGCCTCAGCCTGCCTCAGCCTCAGCCTGCTTCAGCCTCAGCCTCAGTCTGCCTTCAGCCTGCCTCAGCCTCGGCCTCAGCCTCAGCCTGCCTCAGCCTGCATCAGCCTCAGCCTCAGCCTCAGCCTGCCTCAGCATCAGCCTGCCTCAGCCTCAGCCTCAGCCTGCCTCAGCCTCAGCCTCAGCCTGCTTCAGCCTCAGCCTCAGTCTGCCTTCAGCCTCGGCCTCAGCCTCAGCCTGCCTCAGCCTCAGCCTGCATCAGCCTCAGCCTCAGCCTCAGCCTGCCTCAGCATCAGCCTGCCTCAGCCTCAGCCTCAGCCTCAGCCTGCCTCAGCCTCAGCCTCAGCCTGCTTCAGCCTCAGCCTCAGTCTGCCTTCAGCCTCGGCCTCAGCCTGCCTCAGCCTCAGCCTGCCTCAGTCAGCTCAGCCTCAGCCTGCCTCAGCCTCAGCCTCAGCCTGCCTCAGCCTCAGCCTCGGCCTGCTTCCTCAGCCTCAGTCTGCCTTCAGCCTCAGCCTCAGCCTGCCGCAGCCTCAGCCTGCCTCAGCAGCTCAGCCTGCCTCGCCTCAGCCTGCCTCAGCCTCAGCCTCATCCTCAGCCTCAGCCTCAGCTTCAGCCTCAGCCTCAGTCTGCCTTCAGCCTCGGACTCAGCCTCAGCCTGCCTCAGCCTCAGCCTGCATCAGCCTCAGCCTCAGCCTCAGCCTCAGCCTGCCTCAGCATCAGCCTGCCTCAGCCTCAGCCTCAGCCTGCCTCAGCCTCAGCCTCAGCCTGCTTCAGCCTCAGCCTCAGTCTGCCTTCAGCCTCGGCCTCAGCCTCAGCCTGCCTCAGCCTCAGCCTGCATCAGCCTCAGCCTCAGCCTCAGCCTGCCTCAGCCTCAGCCTGCCTCAGCCTCAGCCTCAGCCTGCCTCAGCCTCAGCCTCAGCCTGCTTCAGCCTCAGCCTCAGCCTTCAGCCTTCAGCCTCAGGCCTCAGCCTTCAGCCTCAGCCTCAGCCTCAGCCTGCCTCAGCCTCAGCCTGCTTCAGCCTCAGCCTCAGTCTGCCTTCAGCCTCGGCCTCAGCCTCAGCCTGCCTCAGCCTCAGCCTGCCTCAGCCTCAGCCTGCCTCAGCATCAGCCTGCCTCAGCCTCAGCCTCAGCCTGCCTCAGCCTCAGCCTCAGCCTCAGCCTGCTTCAGCCTCAGCCTCAGTCTACCTTCAGCCTCGGCCTCAGCCTCAACCTGCCTCAGCCTCAACCTGCATCAGCCTCAGCCACAGCCTCAGCCTGCCTCAGCATCAGCCTGCCTCAGCCTCAGCCTCAGCCTGCCTCAGCCTCAGCCTCAGCCTGCTTCAGCCTCAGCCTCAGTCTGCCTTCAGCCTCAGCCTCAGCCTCAGCCTGCCTCAGCCTCAGCATCAGCCTGCCTCAGCATTCAAAATGTGGCCAGGGAATGGAGTTCTGGGAACTCGAAGAACACGAAGTGGCCTACAGCTGGCTCAGGGCATTCCAAATCATGCCCAGGAATGGAGTTCTGGGAACTCGAAGACCACGAAGTGGCCTACAGTTGGCTCCGGGCATTCAAAATGTGGCCCGGGAATGGAGTTCTGGGAACTCGAAGAGCACGAAGTGGCCTACAGCTGGCTCTGGGCATTCAAAATGTGGCCCGGGAATGGAGTTCTGGGAACTCGAAGAGCACGAAGTGGCCTACAGTTGGCTCCGGGCATTCAGAATGTGGCCCGGGAATAAAGTTCTGGGACCTCGAAGGCCACGAAGTGTGTAACTGTTGGCAAAAAAATCCCCGGCACTCCCCCGGATCCCTCCCAGACCCCATGATGCTCTCTTTTGAGCCTACTAGAAACCTATCAGCCTTCGCTGTTAGGTAAAAATCCTCTCGTAGGGGGACAGGCCCGACTTACTGAAGGGGCCACAGGACACACAAATAAATACACACAAATAAAAAACTTCCCCATATTTTCCCATATTTTCTGGGTTTCTGTCTTCCCCCACACTTCCCATATTTTCCTATATTTTCCGGGGAATCGAGGATTAATTGTGTCTGTGTGTTTGTTCCTCTCCTGACTTACGTCTCCTCCCGCGGGGCCTGGCCGCCGCACCGCCCGAGCCGCCGCTGGGCGCGAGGCCCAGCTGGCCCAGCATCAGGGGCCACGGGGCGCCCCGCAGCTCGGGCAGGTCCGCTGCCGCCAGCGCGGCGCACTCCACCAGCACGGCACGCAGCGCGACCTGTCCACCGCCCCCTTTTGGCTCCCCTCCTCCTCCTCCTCCTCCTCCTCCTCCTCCTCCTCCTCCTCCTCCTCCTCCTCCTCCTCCTCCCCTCCTCCTCCTCGTCCCTCCTCCTCCTCCTCCTCCTCCTACCTCTCTCCTCCTCCTCCCTCCCTCCTCCTCCTCACCCCTCCCAGCCTCCCCTCCTCCTCCTCCGCTCCTTCTACCTCCTTCTCCTGCTCCCTCCTCCATCCTCCTCCTCCTCCTCCTCCTCCTCCTCCTCATCCTTCCCCCTCCTCTACGGCCTCCTCCTCTCCTCCTCCTCCGCACCTCCACTCGTCCTTCCTCTGTCCTCTCCTACCCGCATACTCCTCCTCCTCCTCCTCCTCCTCCTCCTCCTCCTCCTCCTCATACTCCTCCTCCTCCTCCTCCTCCTCCTCCTCCTCCTCCTCCTCCTCCTCCTCCTCCTCCTCCTCCTCCTCCTCCTCCTCCTCCTCCTCCTCACACGGGGCTGGCTGCCGCTGACGCCATCGTGCGGGCACGGGAAGCGCCAGAGGAGGAACGAAGAGACCATCTCGGCCAGGGCCCTCCCCGGCCACGCACGGTGGCCCGAAAGCCAGGAGCCCCGCCCGAGCCCAGTGACACTTCTGTCAGCCCCTTCGCTGCACACGCGAGAGCGGCCTCGGGCTGAGGAGTGGCCCTCCGGGGCCGCGGGGGCGCCAAAAATCTAAGCGCGCAGGCCGGTGCTGGGAAGGGCCCTGCGGGCCCACGAACGAGGCCACTCCGGTGACGGTACACTGCTTCGCGTCACCGACGACCCGCCGCGGCACCAGCGTGGCCCCCGGCTCCAGCAGGCGCGCGTGCGCGTCGCGCAGCATGTCCAGACCCCCGACAAGACACTGCTTCTCAATCGCGGCGTGTCCCGTTTGCTCCGGCCTCCCAGGGCCGCCTCCCAGCGAGGGGGTTTTGTGAATAACGGGTCCGGGGCGCAGAACTACCCCCAGGGAAGGGGTCTGGGTCCTGGGGGGCGCGGATTGGAAAACATCACGTCGTCGGCTGTCTGGGATTGGTAGCACACCCTCCCCCAGCAGCTGCGAGTCGAACACCTCGAAGACGCAGAGGTCGGCCCTCGTCGGCAGGTCCAGGCCGGGCCCGACCTCAAGGTCGCTCGCAACTTTGTTGACCACCGCCACCTGCTCCTCCAGGCCGTTCTCGCGAATAACCTTGGCGGCGCGCACAAAGGGGGTGGCGCAAGGGGCGACCTTCTAAGAAGGCGAGGGGGTCTTCTTTTTCAGGCAGGGGCCTTCCCAGAATGGCCCCGGAGGCCGAGGCTTCTGACAGCGTTCTTAGAAACCGGGAGGGCTTCTAAGGCCCCTGCCTCCTGAGACGCCGTCCCGTCATTCCACGCATCATCACGCATCGGACGATCTGATGTTTTCAATCTGCGCCCCGAGGCCACCCGACCCCTTCCCTGCGGGCAGTTGTCATATAGGATCAGGATATCTGCTTGGTGGCCCCTGTGCCCGACAGTGGCCCCCACTGGCCATTCATCCCAGCAGCCCTCTGGGCGGAGGTGGTATCACAGGCCGTCTCTTTCCTGCGGGGCGAACTGCCGTTCCTTCTTGAAGGGGCCCCAGGACACACAAATAAATACACACAAATAACATTATCCCGGCAAAGCAACCTAACAGCGATGTGTAGAAGCATATATGGAAGCATTCCCCTTAAGATTCAGATGAGAATCCAGTTGTAGAGTTCTGCTGTTTTCGCAGTCGCAGTCGCATCCTCGCAGTCACAGTGGCAGCGGCAGTCGCAGTCACAGCCTCAGCCTGCCTCAGTATCAGCCTGCCTCAGCCTCAGCCTCAGCCTGCCTCAGCCTCAGCCTCAGCCTGCTTCAGCCTCAGCCTCAGTCTGCCTTCAGCCTCAGCCTCTGTGCCTCAGCCTGCCTCAGCCTCAGCCTGCCTCAGTATCAGCCTGCTTCAGCCTCAGCCTCAGCCTGCCTCAGCCTCAGCCTCAGCCTGCCTTCAGCCTCAGCCTCAGCCTCAGCCTGCCTTCAGCCTCAGCCTCAGCCTCACCCTGCCTCAGCCTGCCTCAGCCTCAGCCTGCCTCAGCCTCAGCCTCATCAGCCTCAGCCTCAGCCTGCCTCAGCCTCAGCCTCAGCCTGCCTCAGCATCAGCCTGCCTCAGTCTCAGCCTCAGCCTGCCTCAGCCTCAGCCTGCTTCAGCCTCAGCCTCAGTCTGCCTTCAGCCTCTCCTCAGCCAGCCTGCCTCAGCATCAGCCTGCCTCAGCCTCAGCCTGCCTCAGCCTCAGCCTCAGCCCTCAGCCTCAGCATCAGCCTGCCTCAGCCTCTGCCTCAGCCTCAGCCTGCCTCAGCCTCAGCCTGCCTCAGCCTCAGCCTCAGCCTCAGCCTGCCTCAGCCTCAGCCTGCCTCAGCGTCTGCCTCAGCCTGCCTTCAGCCTCGGCCTCAGCCTCAGCCTGCCTCAGCCTCATCAGCCTCAGCCTGCCTGCCTCAGCCTCAGCCTCAGCATCAGCATCACCATTCTCAGCCTCTGCATGAGCATCAAAATGTGGCCCGGGAATGGAGTTCTGGAAACTCGAAGAGCACGAAGTGGCCTACAGTTGGCTCCGGGAATTCAAAATATGGCCCGGGAATGGAGTTCTGGGCACTCGAAGAGCACGAAGTGGCCTACGGTTGGCTCCGGGCATTCAAAATGTGGCCCGGGAGTGGAGTTCTGGGCACTCGAAGAGCGCGAAGTGGCCTACAGTTGGCTCCGGGCATTCAAAATGTGGCCCGGGAATGGAGTTCTGGGAACTCGAAGAGCACGAAATGGCCTACAGTTGGCTCCGGGCATTCAAAATGTGGCCCGGGAATGGAGTTCTGGGAGGAGATCGAAGAGCACGAAGTGGCCTACAGTTGGCTCCGGGTATTCAAAATGTGGCCCGGGAATGGAGTTCTGGGAAGTCGAAGAGCACGAAGTGGCCTATAGTTGGCTCCAGGCATTCAGAATGTGGCCCAGGAATGGAGTTCTGGGAGGTCGAAGAGCACGAAGTGTGTGACTGTTTGCGAAAAGCGCATTCGGACACGAGTTCGGACACAGCTCCCTGGATGCCGCCCCGACCCCCCTGTGGAGTCATCTGCTGCTCTCTTTTGACCTAGAAACCTATCAGCAAAAGCTGTTAGGTAAATATCTCCCATATTTTCACATATTTTCTGGGTTTTTGTCTTCCCCCCCACTTCCCATATTTTCCCATATTTTCTGGGGGACCGATGATTAATTGTGTCTGTGTGTTTTTTCCCCTCCTGACTTCTGAACATGCACCCCCTCCCCCTCCGGACCAAGAGTGCGAACCTGGAGCCATGGCAACACCCCCCACCATCCGTCTCAAAAGACAACACATCGTGCGCCTTGCGGCAAGTCTGGGGCACGTGCAGGCACCACGCGATCCCTTTGCATCGTTCGCTGACAAGTGGCGAGGGGGTGGGGGGCCGGCACATAGCCTGATGCGCGCAGGCCCATCGCTCCTGCCTCGGCACTGCGAAACATAGTGCGCAGCAAGACTTCAAGACCCCCGTGAAGAGTCCCAGGAGGGTGCCATCACACCCCCCGGACTCGAAGAGGACCCCGAGGTGGCTCCAAGAATCCTTCAAGAGGCCCTCACTAAGCAAGATCCGCGAAGCCTTCTTCCTCCTCCTTCTCCTCCTCCTCCTCCCTGTTCTCCTCCAGGTTCTCCTCCTCGTTATCCTGTTTCTCCGACTCTTATCTTCTGACTGATGTCATTATCATAGCTGTTAGTGTTTTAGTTTATGCTCCTGCTCCTCTTGCCCCTCCTCCTCCTTCTCCTCCCTGCTCCCAAGATGACTCCAAGAAGACTGTACGTGGCTCCTACGGTGACTTGTGGCTCCTGCGGCAACTTGCCTCGGGATCGGTTCTGGATGAAATTGAAACTTGGCTCTTCTGCCAGCGGTGAAGTTCGGTGTTCCACAGATCCTTTTGGGCGGCCTACACTGCCTTGATCAATGGAAAAAGCCGGTGAATCGTTTATGGATAGCTTGCTGGGTGCTCATGCGAGACCTCCGCGAGGCTTCTCGTAGAACTCGCATGGGCATCGGTTCTGGATCAAACGGGTGCTCTGTTGTATGGGCTCGTCCGCCGGCAGTCGAATTCGACGTTCCACCGATCCTTCTGATCGGTTGTTCCACTGCCTGCTGCTACACGCCACTGATCATGGCAACATGCCTGCGCATCGTATCTGGATGGTTTGCTGGCTGGGCTCATCAGGCAACTCGCCTGGGTATTGGTTCTAGATAAAGGCTCTGCTTGATTTGGCTATTCCGCTGACGGTGGACTCCGTGTTTCCACAGGTCCTCCTGGGCGGCAGTTCCACTGCATGCTATGAAACGCCATTGATCATGTCAACACGCCTGGGAATCGCTTCTGGATAGTTTGCCAGCTTCATGTGAGGACTCGACGGAATGTCTAGGACAACTCGCCTGGATATAGGTTCTGGATGAAATTGGATACTCTGCTGCATGGGCTATTCCGTCGCGCTGGTGGGGGTGGGTTTTCCAAACGTCCTCCGTTGCGCCACTCCCCATGTCACGAATAACTCTGGAGGAACCCATGCAGGCATTCGCGGTTCCCCTAAAGGGGAGCCTGACAACACACTGAATAATATAGCACAGAGGAATACATCCGCTAACATTCGTAACTGAATGGTCTGATGGGGATAAGGCGAAGCGTCAAACAAATTAGGAAGAACGGCGGGACCGAAAATAGCAATCCGCAGGATGCCTGGAATTTAAGACAAAGTACACCAACAAAAATCATGAACATCAACTCTCGGAGGTCCGCGCGGATTTTCTTGCATCGGCGCTGGACGCGCCGCCAGGGGGCTCCGGCATGGATCCAAGAAAGTCGCACAGGCCTCCAAAAGTTGACGGGGCGCGTCAGGACGTGTTGGTACCACGTGCTTCTGCTGGCGGCGCACTTCCGATCCGAACATACAGCACACAGGTAGTACCTGTCGGGGCGCCCAGAGCGTCTGGAAAGGTCCCCTGGGGGCACCTGCTAAGGCGTCTGGAAAGGTTCCCTGGGCACTTGCTGGAGCACCCAGATCGGGTCGGGCGAAAGGGGGGGATAGCAAAGGGGGGTTTAAGAATCAGCTCACGTAGCCGATTTTCCCGGCGCCTCCCGGCGCCGGAAGCGGCTACGAATCGAGGAATGGGCCCCTCGGTGAGGCCGAAACCAGCTGCATGCAGCAAATTTCGTACCCCCCCCCCCTTTCGCCCGGCCCGAACCCAGAGCGCCCAGAAAGGTTTCCCATGCATGGAGGCACCCGCTGGGCACCGCCGGGGCGCCCGGAATGGATTTTCCCGGAGATGCCTGCCGGGGCGCCCGCAGCGCCCTAGAGCTCCCCGGGGACGCCTGCCGGGGCGCCCGGAAAGGCTCCCCGGGCACATCGTTACTCCCATCGTACGTAAGGACCACATCCCAAGAATAATTTCGAGCACTCGGAAAAGTGTCGAAAGAGTGTCGAAACAGTGTCTCCAAGGGCCCGACACGTGAAAACCCTCAAATTGTATGTATTTTCTCTGGGGCTTGAAACAATTTCTGGTGATCAAGGCTAATGTAGATTGGAACATCATAATCCCCGGGCGCATCGTTACCCGGGCGGCTTGGCCAGAGAACGCCCGCCACGGTGAGAGGCTCGTAGCACGAGCCTGTCTGAGTCCGACCGAGTGCATGACTGCTGCAGACCTGCCCCTCCGCAGCAAGAGGCCATGCGTGGAGGGACCCGGGGGTCTGAGACGGTCGGGGTCCCAGACAAGTTGTTGTCAGGAGGCAGGAGGTCCGCTCTCAAAATCTGTCCCCGGGCCCCTCCCGGGGTTGCGCCCATGCGTTACCACCTGTCCCGGGACCCGAGAACGGCCCCCACGGAGGCCGAGAAGAGCAAAAAACACTTGCCCGAGCCCAGACCCTCCCAGGCGGCTCCAGGCCCCCCCCCCCCCTCCACCCCACCCCCCGCCCAGACCCCCGACGCCATGATTGTTTCACGACGCGACCCCCAGAGGTCAAGACCCACTCCCCGGGACCAGTGTTTCATCCTGGGTCCTTCTTTGACCAGTCCCGAGGCCCAGGAAGGACCCCCATGGGCCGCAAACAGCAAGCCAAAACAAGAACGGAAAAAACAACAACTATTTTAGGGGGCTCGAGGGGGTCTGGGCCGTGCGCGCCGCCGGCAACCCGCGCGGCCAGCTCCGCGCAGGCGCCGTACGCCTCGCAGGCCACCGCGCGGCTCCCCGGGCGGCCCCGGCACGCCTCGGGGCGGCGCCGACGCCGGGCCACGCAGGGCCACATACCGCGGACGCGGGCCGGCTGCGCAGGTGGCTCCCGAACCAGGGTCAGCGGAGGGCTGAGCAGGGGGGGTCGGAGGAGGAGGAAGAGGAGGAGGAGGAGGAGGAGGGAGGAGGAGGAGGAGGAGGAGGGAGGAGGAGGAGGAGAAGGAGGAGGATGAGGAGGAGGAGGAAGGAGGGAGGAGGAGGAGGGAGGACGGATGAGTGAGGAGGGGGAGGGAGGGAGGGAGGGGGAGGGAGGGAGGGAGGGAGGGAGGGAGGGGGGGAGGGACGAGGAGGAGGAGGAGGAGGAGGAGGAGGAGGAGGAGGATTTTTTGACATGAGCTGCAAAGTGCAAACAAAGGGCGGCCGGGCGGACCACCACCAGGCGATATCCCATTGCGGGAGGATGCCCAGCGTTGGTCGCGCCAGCCCACCTATCGCCACGGCACGGGCTCCACCGACACGCCCCTGCGAGTCGGGTGGGCACCCTCTGCAGATCTGCTTACACGACCAAGCCTGCTTCGACGCGCGCTGGCCACACTCTTGAGCCGGTCCTCGAACACAGCCAACGGTGGCGTGCGAGTGGCACCTCGTTTTCGTCATGTTCCTCCTCCTCCTCCTCCTCCTCCTCCTCCTCCTCCTCCTCCTCCTCCTCCTCCTCCTCCTCCTCCTCCTCCTCCTCCTCCTCCTCCTCATCCTCCTCCTCACCCCCCCTCCTCCTCCGAAGGTGCCATCCGACCCCCCACAAACAACAGCCGCGTGTATCAAGGCCCGCAGCGAGGGCCCTGTCCAGCCAGGAGACAACCGTGCACTCTCCGGGCTGCGGAAACACCCCCGACGATTTCTAAAATACACCCTGCGAGATGCTTAAGAAATCATGGGTTAAGAAATTGATAGTCTCAGAATTTGAATAAAAACCCAGCATTTCTTTCGAAATCTTAGGATTTACATTGAAGCATTAAGAATGATCGAGACTCTGGCCGAAAACTCAAGTTTTCTTCAGCATCGCCTGAGGTGTACCAAGCATTGTTGACATCTCCGAAATCCAAGGCGGCCTCCAACTCGAAAGCCCAGGAGTGCCCAGGACCCTTGGGTTCCTTGGGAGCCAAAGGGGAGTGGGCGATCCAGGGGCACTCGGGGAGATCGAGTCGAGGCCAGGAAGAGAGCACCTGAGGCCGCTAGCGCACAGACCGCCAGGGAAAAACGAATTCGAAAATTCAGCTGCTGGACTTCTGCTTCAGAAGACAGCGGGTGCATCGCTGCACTCATCTTTGCGGCCCTGTCGGCCTCGTCGCTGCCCACGCGGAGCCAACGTTCGCTCTCTGAAATCCCCGCCTCTAGCGGGTCAAGATGGGCCTTGGCTTCACTCACTCCTTCCACCTACCGACTCCCCGTCCGAAACATCATCATCAGGCCAGCGAAAAGCTTCTTATAGCTAAGCTGAACCTCGCTGGCTTTGCTGCTTAAAGAAACGACGTTCTCGCACTCAGAATGAAAAAGTGCACGGGGCTTCAACCTCGAGACCTTCGCGCGCAATTCCTGCAAACTCAGCACACTGGGAGGTCTGGATGAACGGGGAGTGGACATGACCAGCCAAACTGCATACGCCCGTCACCCGAAATCACGGCCAACCCAAAGCCCGCTCTAGAGAGCTCGCAGATAACATGTCTCTGGCAGATGCCGTCGACCAACATGCCCCCCGCAAATGTGCCACCTACAGGGGGGGGCAATCCCAAAACAGTTTGGCCGGAAAGTCACTATCCTCAGGGGCAGGGCGGGGGAAGTAGCCCCCAGGGTGCTGGAAAAAAGCCCTCGAGTAAACACGTCCGCGTCGGCGGCAGAATTTAAATCACCCGGCATCACAATTGCTTCACGGAGACAGGCTACGCAGGGGCGCGACCAAAGACGGCGGTGGACATCATATCCTGGCTGTCCGCACAGTTGGCATACGTTCGATACCTGATATCCAACCTGCCTAGCCCGCTCGTGAGTCCATAACGCTTCGCACACCAAACTGCGGATGTAGCCCTTTTCCTCGTTGGTGAGTTTCGATGACCTCAAGCGGCTGCGAACGACATCGTAGCGCAGCCCCTGCTCAGGGACACCAGCGTTGCACGCCGCTTCACGCTCCAAACTCCTCACCGGGGCCGCGTGCAACATCATCTTCAACATCATCTTCAGGCCGCGTGCAACGACCGAGAGCAACAACGCCTCCCCGCAATCATTCGCGCACGCGGCGCAGTCGCGCATGCTCCACCCAATGCGCTTTAAAGATAGGCGGGGCGCGGACATCGGCCCAGAGACCGAACTCTCCAAGTCGGCTCTGGTTGGCTGAAGACAAGCTCCCAGCCATCGCGCAGCTGTGCCCGCGGCAGCGAAAAGGGGCGGGACGTCGCGCGCAGGGCCCACACCTCCCCAGCGTAGCGCAATACGGGGGCCGTGGCTCCCAGCCACACTGGATCGCCGCGGATAATCCTAATAAGTGTTAGCGAACGACCACCAGCCCCTGGGCACAGAACCACGCCTGCCCCCTGCCTGACTTCGCCCAGCTCAAAGTCCGAGAGCCCGTTGATTTCGGCCCCGTGCAGGATCCCTTGCAAGGCCCCTGACATCCAGATACGCTGCATAGATTCTACATGGTTACATCCCTGTCTAGCAAACTTCCTGGTGCTTTCCTCGAGGTAGTCGGTCCTGGCCCCGAGCTCGGCAGCCCGACGCGCAGCCCGACGTGGCATGCCACCAGAGTCGCCCGCCCGCAACTTCACGGCGCTGTCCGCGACGGGCCCAGCAAAGGCCCCCCGAAACTTCCCCATGGACTCGCAGGCCAAGAGGTTGACACCAACACCAAGATCGGCGGTGCGCCTCCACCGATGGAGGACGATCCTGATCTCGGTGATGGTGGTAATAATCTGGCTTCAAGGTGACCGAAATGTTACCACCAACGCCGAAGTCTAAGGTCATCTTCCCCGTGTGGAGGCGAACGCCCTGCGCTGGTGTTGGCGCCAATTTCCAGGCCTCCGATGGACAACGTGACCCCCCGACTGGACCTCGCCAGGCCCGCCTTGTCCCGAGAAGCATTGCACCCGCACTCGTGCTCGATGACGGCGAGCAACTGCGCGCTGGCACTTGTCAGGCCGTCGGCGGCCTGCGGCGCCGCCCCAGCCGCCGAGACCCCGCCATCGCCTGCGCGCTGGTCCAAGCGCACTCCTGCCGAGAAACTCAGGTTCGAAAGAGGCCTCCAGGGCATAGACCCCCACAAACAAAGTGGCGAACCTGCAACCAGCTACACTCCATTCGCGGCGCGCAATGGGCCAGCGAAGTAACCTGCGAGACATACAAAACGAGCATATCGACACGCGGAGACGGCGAGGATAAAGATTGGGGCGGGGAAGCCAAACTTGATGCAGTGCTCCTCTAAGCGGACCAAGCACATCGCTTACTAGAACTTGGAAATAGCCCGCGACCGCGCGGCATAAACTTCGCCCTGAGCAAGTCCCGCTTCCCTCCTGGAGCTCTGTCTCCACACTGCGTTACTGGCCGAAGCGGAGGCTTGCCCCGCGTAGAAACTGCCGCGGCGTTTCATCTCCCATTCGAGCGCGAAGTTGCGTCGGCATTGCCCCCGCAGGCGGCATAGCGCGCAGATCAGGCCGATTGGACCAGCCACCTGATGACTTTATCAGCAGCGCGAGCTGCACCACGCGAAGTTGGGCTGGAAGGTTCGACAGCATTTCCATGACCACGATCACGAGACAGAGGACCTGCAAGCGGCCCTCGCTCATCCAACTACAATGGCGCATCTGAAACCCATCCAGCCCACGCGCAGTCCCGAGGGAATACGTCCTGGAGACGTCTCGCACGAAGTCAGACATGAGGGGCAAAGGCTCCCGACCGAGTCTTACAATCGTCGGAATGTTTAGCGGGGGGGGGGGGGAGCTCCGATGGGCGGCCCCGATCCACCTCCAACCAGGCATTGAGGCCGGCAGGACGCCCGCCAAAATATTTGTTTTTATTGTTTTTTTAAACAAAAAAAACTGCCCACGGACCAAGGACGAGGGATCCGAGACAACGGCCCCAGAGGAGCTCAGGACGTAGACGGTTTCCAGCCCGCCGCAGGCAGTCGGGCCAGATGCGCATCTCTCGCCCCGCCCCCCACCCCTCTCGATGTTTAGTCTGAGCCAACTTTTCCAACCCTTCGAAGGATTGCAAAACAACTCTGTTTATTTTGCAATTCTTCGGGTTTGTTTTGCAATCCTTCGAACGGTTGTTTTGCAATCCTTCGGGTTTGTTTGCAATCCTTCGCCCTCGGTCCCGGCATGGGCCCTGCGCGGCAGCCGCTGCGGCATCCAGCCACGCAAGCGGGTTTTTTACAAGGCGCGGTGGCCGGTCCTGCGGAGAACTACCTGCAACCGGGTGGAAAACAGGCTGCCCTGACCAAGATGTCTCAAACTCGATGGGCAAGAGGGGGGGCGCGGCGCGCCTCGGTCGTCCAAGGGATCCTCGAACCCATCTTGGCGCCTTGCAAATCAGCGAAAGGGTCAGCATACTCGTCATCCAGCGAAACAGGTTTCGGAGCTTGGAGCGCCTGCTCGACAACAGCAGGGCAGGCGCACCAGGCTCCGAAAACTGAGAATGACGGTACGCCTCCCATTCTAAAAACTGCGGCGAGCCACTGACACTCGCTTCACTCACAAACTCCTGACACCGTCGCACTAAGCCAGGGCAGCGCGCCAGCCCCACGCTCACATCACTGGGGGACTCAAGCAGCAGAGAAGCATTCAACCCGAGCTCCTTGGGCGTTGGAGAGGCTATCGCCCACTTCCTGGCCGTGTTGTGGAACCACTTGATGGCAGCAGGTCGGGGTGGCTACCTTCGCAAGGATCAGTCTTGAACACAGACTCGACATTTTAACAGTGACATCCTACCCCTAGCCCCGACGTAAGGGAGGGACGCAAATGCAACATCAGCAACCCCCACCTTGGCC